ATAGAAATGTATTCAGACGCTTGGATTTACGTGAATCAATACTCATCTTTGAACATGGATCTAACCTCCTACACGAACAGGCTTACAAACGCAATGCGTTCAGTTAAACCTGCTTCCACTGGACCTCAATCAACTGATGTTTTCGTTCAACCTGACTTACGATATAGTACACACGTTTTCGTTCGTCGAGACTCGCATCGACGACCATTCGAATCAGCATACGAAGGACCCTTCAAAGTTCTTCAACGTGAATCTAAGTACTATATAGTCGATAAGAACGGAACAAACAATAGCATCAGCATCGATCGCTTAAAAGCAGCGTATTTAGAAGGGAATCCTATTCACGTCGACTTTCCTTCGGTGCAATCGCACAACACGACTCCTACACTCCTACACGACTACTGCACGTAAGGCACTACTCGACATTTTATATTATCTCGATTTTTCTTTTTACGATATATAATATTAAAAAAAGAATTTTAATATGCTTATATACTTTTATTTTTATTTAAAAAAACAAACAAAAAACAAAAAATCATTTATTTAACGCTATTACGTGCGCTTGAGTTTATTTTCCATTTTTTTCGCCAACATTGTGTTTTTACGCACATACGAGTGTATTTCGACATGTACTTACACTTTCTTTTTCCTTTTCCAGGACGGCTGTAAAAGAACGACGCAGTGTACGAGGAGTCGAAATTTTCGTTGTAACTTTTTCTTTTTTTACTATGTTGTACCTCGGTCCCATGTAGTAAGGAAAGACGACCAGACGCTGCTACACTTAGTAAGCTATCAGAAGAGTGTTTACCAACGACAAACTCGCTCGGTTTAAACTTCTGGCTGGCTACGTCTTAGGATTGTCACTGCCCCACTAGTGGGGGGAGTGATCTGTAGCGGTAAATAAATCCCCAAAATAAATAGCTCTAAGTTTTCGACATTGGATGCTAACCATATGTTTTAGTGGACTCATCTAGCTGAAGGCGCTCGGTCATGCATCCGCACCAGATCACGTGTGGTAACGCCGTGCTCAACATCAACCGCAATCGCTAGCCAGATTAGATCAGAGAATTCCGATATATTGGTTATCGCCAAATACACTCTTCCGATCTCCTCGACTCTGTCTTTTGATTTCTCTGGGTGGGAACGAAATATATTAGAAGGTGTTACTGGTAGAAGCGTTGTCAAACACTGAATACCTGTGACATCATCAAAACCAAGTTCCCGCTTAAAAGTTGTATTGGTAATGTTAAGCTGCAGTTTTTGTTGTTTTTTCCAAACGAAAGAGTAAAAGAAGTCAAAATATACTGGAAGTGGTTGTGAGACTAAAATGGACGTCTAGCATTCTTTTTATTATCTGCTGTTCGTTGGGTCTCCCGTAAACAGTTCCATAGGGCCATAGTTCCAAGGGCGAAACAGTTTTTAGGGTCTGTGAAGGCTCACTCCTGTTACATTCTAAATGAAAAAAATAGTGATGGATTTATTCAGAAATGTGAAACAGATAAATAAACAAATTACATGTTTTTTTAGCAAAGAATTTATGCAGTTGTGATTTACCTTGAGTTCATGAATATTAGATAAGGTCAGCTACTATTACTTGCGCAAAGCATAACATGGGCTTAGTACCGTATTGCAATGCTTTTATTATTTTGCTCCCGTTTAAGTGTTCCTAAACATCTGCGTCTAGTTTATTAACAGGAAAACATACAAGCAGAGTTGGTGTCTGATGAACTGAAAGTCCCAGCTGTCAAAAAGATTCTAAACATTTGTCCACAGCCAGCTGCATTTAATTGAAACACAGAACACTCATCTTCTAAGACTGTAAACTGCTGTTTTGCGCGCAACTAAAAGCTCAGACACTTAGCTATCTTGCTACCGATGTTATTGTTGGGGAAATTGTTTAATGACAGTGATAATGAAATATGGTTAGTGATGGATGTACAGTTTAGAAATAAACGCCAAACATACTTATCGCTATCTTATAATGCATGACAGCAACAGCATCAAAGGCACGTTTTTTCCTATTTTTTATCAGACTGATCTGAATTCGTATACACATTAGAAACAGGCAACCCTACTTACTAAACTGATCTGTTTCGTTACAGGCATCAAGCACTATACTTAAGTATATCATAATTCTTTCAACTAAACTGAATTATACGACAACCAAGAACACTAAACTAAGCAAGTGTTATAGTTATTGTTTCATTTGCACAGACATGCTGCTCAAAGTAGTTAAATGGACATAATTAAATCGATAAAACCAAAACACGAAATATAGGCCAGTTGAACTTACCTAAGAAATTTCTTTTTTAAAAGAAGGATACATATATACTGCTTTCATACTGAAGACAACAGGCAGTTGTTCATACAAACACAGTTTACAGTACAACAAACCTTTCTTCACCAAAATCATGCACTGACAGTCTATCTGGAAACAATCAACTATGTGAATAAACTCACTATGACTTGGGATATCATCCCAGCGTGCAATGGACGTACAGTGTAATGCAGCCGGACGCAGCGAATAAAAATTAAAAACAGAGCAAAATTAACTACATAATCTAGTTATTTAGTGAAAAATACATTATGAAATGACAAAATCTGTGGTTACTTGAACGCACAGATGACCCTGTGTGATACATTAAGTTTACATGGTTGCGTTGCGGATAAGATCACCCATAACTTTCACGATTAGCAGTGTGTTACACTAAATCTATATCTAATCCACAAAACAGAAGACTTAACCATCTGATTTACTTGTAACATGGAACAAGTAGTGACAGTGTATTTCAACAAGACTCTATGAATAAAACGATATTCATACACACCACAAACGTAAGAAAGTCCAACATGACAAAGGAGGGAAGATGTCGTTACTGACAGGCAAACATGATGGTGAGGAGATAACTTCGATTCACCCATGTGTTCAAGGCAGAATATTTTATTTAATTACGACTCATTATGTTCAATCGGAACGTCACGAACCAGTGGTATTGATACTAATTTATTATGCAAAATACCCATTTAAATCGTGTTTGTGATGTATAGATAGGCCTGACAAGCTTATTTTGTAAATAGTTTTTAATGTTATTTGTATTTATTTTGTCAATTTTGCACTTTATGTACATTTGTCATTAAATGACTGTACCTGTTGTTTTAGTGAATGACCTTGAGCACTTTTTCCGTTGTGTTACTAACATAGCGTGACACACTTGTGGCTGTTCGCAAATACACTATTACGCACACACTCCTTGTTCTATTCTCACTCGTTATCGAGCCAATTGCATTCTAAATCGAATATTATCCACATTTTAGACTGTTGTGTCATTACTATTACATCCTACGTCAAGAAAACTTACTGGAGTCATATTTACCTCATCGGAGTTATTACTCATTTATAATTGTGGATTTTGGTACAAAAACTCAACGGAATACGCGACAACTAGCTGATTTAAGTAACGTCTCTGAACTTTTATTCTGTGTTACTAATTTATAAATTATTAGTGTTATATTGACTTTTGGACGTAATAAATTTATTGCTAATGTTTGGTTAATATACTTTTTGTTTCACCACAGTGACGTTGAATTGGTTTCACTTCGTACCGAGCAATCCTATTCTAAGCAAAACTGGACATTTCACCATAAACGAGGCGTGCTAATGAGCCTATATACTCACTAAAGATAAAGGTGAGCTGAAATAGCTTCGACAAAAAGGGAGATACCCATTTGTGTATCAGAAATTTTTTTCAGAACTATATTTTAAAACTACACATAATCCTATACTTTCAGCTTCTCTTCTGACCCGCTCTCTTCATACAGTTGTTTGTCCATTCAAACCATATTTACATTTTTTTTCAACCTATTAGAATGCTCTTGCTTAAAAAGTACCTTAATAATGGGAACTTAGTAGTCACACCTTCACTATTTCACCACATATGACTCAATTTCAATAGGCATGAACGTCGTCTATCTTGTTTCTTGTCCTTTCTTTGACTTACTTCCTTTTCCAGCCCCCCCCTCAAGATATGCCGCCGATAAAGCATATGAAACAGCTGATTTCGTTCTGCGCCACCATTATTACCTCAGATGTTGATGAAAGAAATAAGGTTGCGGTTTGTAGAAGATCTCAAACGTTCGTGGATTTAAAGTGGCATTGGGCCCTAACTACAAAATCCTGAAAGCTGAACACGGTAAAATTGGGACAATAGATATTCAATATTCAACGTAGAGAAAAACCCAGCAATAAGGAATACGGGAAGAATAAGTTGAATTAAATCTTGTTTATCAAATGGCACTTATCGACTTAGAATACGCAGATGACAGTCCTGTTTGGTGAAGACGCTGACAAAATGCAGAGTCTTCTGGTAGCACTGAGCAACAATACCAGAATGTTTGGAATGCGCTTCTCTCCCTCTAAATGCAAGTTGTCGCTTCAGGACTGGTCTGCGTCAACACCTGAACTAAGGATAGGGAGTGAAGTAGTCGAACGCGTTGACAACTTCACTTATCTTGGAAGTCTGATCAGCCCTAATGGGTTGGTATCGGACGAAATCTCAGCACGGATTCGAAAAGCTCGTTTGGCTTTTGCCAACTTACGTCACCTTTGGCGAAGGCGAGATATCCGTCTATCAATAAGAGGACGAGTATACTGCGCGGCAATGCTATCCGGTATTGGAGATGGTTTGGAGAGAGTTAGGGGCGGCCAAACCAAAACGTGGCATCAGTGCTTGAAGTCACTAACTTCTAGTCTGAGCCATGTTGGTAGATGCAGACTACTTGGTTGGGGTCCGCGTGACTATCGTAACCAATGGTTGGAGACTCTTGGTGACATGGCTCAGAATCGATCACAATGGCGTCGGTGTATACACTCCCTGTCTTCCCTTAAACTAAGAGATTAAAATCGCTTCATATCTTTCTTTCTAAGAACCAATTCTTTCTTCTTGTACTATATCTCTATATGGAATCTTTCTCTTACATATTACTACCTTTGACCTAACCACTGCTATGAATCAGGTGTTCATCTTGTTGTGCTGATGCGGTATGGCAACCTGGACCGATGCACATATGTGCCTGGCCTTTCGTTGTAGCTGACTGACTGACTGAAATGGTATGGCTAGGACTTGCAGGCGTTGTCATTGTTGAGTGTTACCTCATACCTTATACTCTAATTAAATATATTATTCTATCTCTAGCCTAAGTGTGTTCTTCATCATATATTGATGATTGTTACGATGCGACAAGGTGGTGCAGATAATATTGTGACTTCAAATCATAACAACCGAGGATGGAAAACTTACGACTAGTAATACTTGGTTCTGGAGAAACACCCAATTATTACCGAGGGTTGTGTATACAGTGTAGGCGTTTGTTCTGTATTAACTCTTGCAGCTACCTAGATACACGAACTTCTCGACTACTTCTATCTGTTCACCATCCAGGGTGAGTGCAGGATTAGAATCCTGCCAGTCTTATAGAAGTACTTTGCACTTCGAAGGTGCAAAGCACATACCATACCTACGGACACTGATTGCCAACTGATTAAGTGCGGATTGCATGCCTTGGGCATTATCGCACAGTAAGACAATATCGTCCGCATACTCAAGGTCGTGAAGTCTTTCTCCAGTTAACAGATCCACACCACCATTACTTACATCCATCAGAGCTGTTTCCAGAATGTCATCGATGGCAAAGTTGAAGAGGAATGGTGAGATTGGGCAACTCTGCCTAACCCCACTGTTCGAATGGAACAATGGAGAGAGGTGGTTGTATGCCCTCACTCTGCCTGAGGTGTTTGTATATAGGGCTTTTAGGATGTTAATAAACTTCTCAGGCACGTCCTTCTTCAATAGACAATCCCAGAGAACAGTCCTATCCAACGAATCGAAGGCAGCCCTGATGTCAAGAAACACTACGATTGTTGGCCTTTGATAAGTATGGCGGTGTTCTAACATTTGGCGGAGGGTGAAGATATGATCAATACATCCTCGACCAGAAAGAAACTCAGCCTGCTCCTCGCGAGTCAATCATTCTCGAGTTTTGAACAACCTACGAAGTATGATGGAAGCCGATAGCTTGGACGCAATCGGAAGTAGACTTATCCCCCGATAGTTGTCTTCAGGAACGACGTGAACCTTTTTTAAAGATAGGGACAACTATCGACTCATTCCATGACGTTGGTACACTCTCTAGTTCCCAAACCTTTGTGAACAACGTCGTCAATTCCTTAGTCAAAAAGTCACCACCATGTTTAAAAGAGCCGGAGGTAAGTCATCTGGACCAGGTGATTTGTAACGCTTCAAGAGTTGGAGTTCCTTGGGGACTTCCACCTCATTTGGTGGATCAGTCATCACCGGCCATGGAGGGCAGGACAGTCTGACCGATGTTGCCGGAGCAGCAGGCCAGTTGAACTGCTTCTCGAAAAATTCTGCCCATCGTCCAAGACGTCGATGGATGTTAGTGATTGGCATCCCATCATCCTCGCAGATTGTTTCACTCACACCACACTTCTTGTTGCCAGTGGCTCGGATAATTGGGAAGAGATTCCGGTAATTACCAGGTGCAGCTGCTGCTTCCAGTTCATTAGCACTCTCCGACCACCAAGCTTCTCGTTCCTTACGCAAGCTTTGCCCAATTTCCTTACGTAACATCCTTCGTTTGTGGTCAAACTCACGGTCACCCGGAGTAGACTGACGGGCTTCAATGAGTTGTAAGGAGCCTGAAGAAACCCAGTGCTTATAAGCGGGACGTTTCGCGAACCCACAACTGACTGTACTTACCATTTTCATGGCGTCATGCAATTGCAACCAATGCTCATCTATACTTTTCGTTGGGATGGTAGCTAGCCTAGAAACTAGCTCGGTTCGATACTTACTAGCAACAGAAGTTGCAACCAGCTTGCTAACATCAATCCGTTGGTGGTGGTCACTTCGTTGTCCACAGAAAAGTAAGGCAAGATTGGCGCAGACCAAAGCATGGTCAGAGTCCAGATAGGTACTCGAAAAGAATCGGCAGTCTTGTACACAACCAGAATGGTCAGATCTCTTGCTGACCATTTCTCTAGGATGAGCTACAGCCTCTCATGAAATTAGTCTTTGTCATTCTCCTTCCTACTGTTGGTGATTTGGTAGCACTGGATGATGTTCATTGTAATCATGTCCGCTTTTATTTTGAAAGATGCTTTAATGTATACATGTGGCCATGTGAGAGCGTTTCGAGAGGAAGAGCGGACTCTCCCCACCCTTGGTCCTAACAAGGCATTTATGGGCCAACACCTTGTATATGGGAAGGATCGTGTGCTTCATGACCGTAATAAGACAACACCTTTTTTAAAGTTTGCCTTTTCTACCCAGACTATATTCAATGGGTTTCGCTTCTTCCAAATACAGCCAGATTGTTTCCTCTTATTTTTGCGACTATGTTAAAAACTCATTCCGTCTCTCACATTGTTCAAACATTCCACGTCCATTTATTCGTCATTGTTTTCGGTTGTCAGAAAGAGCGTCGGCATCTTGACTTTCAAAAAGTCTCGACTTCCCGAATTCGACACTATAAATCTTCTATATGAAGACTCATCAAGTCACAGCTGAAGGTCTAATTAGTTTTCTGTGGTTGGCGTTCTTTTCAGTAGACTTATTTTTCATAAGGTAGATTCGTTAAGCTTACGATCAACTGTGGTCCTAACGGACCGGGACCAGCTCTACGCGGAGTTAATTGTACTCAGTATTATTAAATATTTTGAATAATTTCAGTTGCTGGATTAATATTTTTATTTGTCCATCTTTTTTTCTTTAGAATAGTCCGTTTACTACGGATGACGAATTTAAAAATGTTGAAGCTGAATGCAGTTTACCTTTTACGGTAGTGACTGATATTAATGTGAGTACATGTGTATTGTTCACTCTCCTCTTCATCGCCTATCATATTAATCTGGATAGCCAGGATTTTTTTGTACTATTGATATATTGTAGAATATGGGTAAAAACCTAGGTAGAAATAGTTGAAATGATTTGGCTTTTATCTAGAAAACCAATAAGCAAACTGAACAACTGTTTTTTCTTAGTATGTAATCTTTAAGTAGTGTACATATATTATACTTTCAAGAATCAAATCGCAGACCGTCAACTCGTAGCAAGTATTTAATCTTTAGGAGTTGATGAATTCAGTTAGTTTTAATCGATGTAGACGCAAGCACAAATGTGCTTTGATCCACGTTTTCCTACTAAATCAACACTGTGACGAAATTAAGTCGATAAATAGCTAAGTAATTGAAGTAATCGTGGTGGTAATGATAATATGAATGACAACATATTGGACATATGGTTCTCAAAGAAGGAACGTATGGAGGAACACTGAAAATGAAGATGTAAAGGAAGATAAGTGGTAATTAGATATGTGCCACTGTATTGAACTTTACAGCAGATGACCCTGTTCTTCCAACCATTGGTCAGGATAATCACGCAGGCCCTGACTACTGATTCCCTTTAGGCGAGATGTTGGTCAGTAGAGTAGTAGGCTAGAAGAATACCAACTCTCCACATAGAAATGAGGGAGTAATTTCTGAAGCTATTGGCTGTTGGGTTGAACTGGTTCAGAAGTGAACAGTCCCTATGAATCGATTCAATGTCAAACACAAGTGATTAGCGATTTGCAACAAAAACTTATGGATGCCGGTGAAAGATCATCGACAGATGCCTCTGGTCCACCTGATTCGACTGGTCAAATGCTCTCATCTCGTTTATGCCAACTACATAGCATCCAAGAAGCACGAATAGCTTTGAAATATCTATTCAGACAAGTAGGTTGTACTTTTTATTCTTTTCTAACCAGACTGACCAATTGATGCATCTGTCCAAATTGTCAAGCTACATTTGAATATAAGTGGTCACTGGGTAGACATATAACAACATACGTCCGTGCAATATGGTTTATTAATTCAATGATGTAAGTTACAGCAGAACGCCGATTCTGTAAACAGGCTTCGCAAAGCATTGCCAATAGGATATGAATTCCACTTATTTATTCTCTATAAAAATGTAGTGATCTGATTTGACTAGTCAACAGTTCTTTATTTTGCTTATTCTTGCTCTTTTTATTTATTTCATAGGCATCGTCATCTAAAGTTTCTAAGATTAATTTAGAAACTCAAATATGTGAATTGGAATCCCAACTGAACGCAGAGAAACGAAAATCTGAGGAGAATGTAAGTTGGAATGATAAGTTTTCTACTGAAACACCAATACTCGAATGCATTTGTGAAGTTCTTAAGTCGATGCAAAAATCCTATACCATATGTGCCTTGCATCGACTTAAGAACTTCACAAATGCATTCGAGTATTGGTGTTTCAGTAGAAAACTTATCATTCCAACTTACATTCTCCTCAGATTTTCGTTTCTCTGCGTTCAGTTGGGATTCCAATTCACATATTTGAGTTTCTAAATTAATCTTAGAAACTTTAGATGACGATGCCTATGAAATAAATAAAAAGAGCAAGAATAAGCAAAATAAAGAACTGTTGACTAGTCAAATCAGATCACTACATTTTTATAGAGAATAAATAAGTGGAATTCATATCCTATTGGCAATGCTTTGCGAAGCCTGTTTACAGAATCGGCGTTCTGCTGTAACTTACATCATTGAATTAATAAACCATATTGCACGGACGTATGTTGTTATATGTCTACCCAGTGACCACTTATATTCAAATGTAGCTTGACAATTTGGACAGATGCATCAATTGGTCAGTCTGGTTAGAAAAGAATAAAAAGTACAACCTACTTATCTGAATAGATATTTCAAAGCTATTCGTGCTTCTTGGATGCTATGTAGTTGGCATAAACGAGATGAGAGCATTTGACCAGTCGAATCAGGTGGACCAGAGGCATCTGTCGATGATCTTTCACCGGCATCCATAAGTTTTCGTTGCAAATCGCTAATCACTTGTGTTTGACATTGAATCGATTCATAGGGACTGTTCACTTCTGAACCAGTTCAACCCAACAGCCAATAGCTTCAGAAATTGCTCCCTCATTTCCATGTGGAGAGTTGGTATTCTTCTAGCCTACTACTCTACTGACCAACATCTCGCCTAAAGAGAGTCAGTAGTCGGGCCTGCGTGATTATCCTGACCAATGTTTGGAAGAACAGGGTGATATGGTGTAAAGTTCAATACAGTGGCACATATGTAATTACCACTTATCTTCATTTACATCTTCATTTTCAGTGTTCCTCCATACGTTCCTTCTTTGAGAACCATATGTCCAATATGTTGTCATTCATATTATCATTACCACCACGATTACTTCAATTACATAGCTATTTATCGACTTAATTTTGTCACAGTGTTGATTTAGTAGGAAAACGTGGATCAAAGCACATTTGTGCTTGCGTCTACATCGATTAAAACTAACTGAATTCATCAACTCCTAAAGATTAAATACTTGCTACGAGTTGACGGTCTGCGATTTGATTCTTGAAAGTATAATATATGTACACTACTTAAAGATTACATACTAAGAAAAAACAGTTGTTCAGTTTGCTTATTGGTTTTCTAGATAAAAGCCAAATCATTTCAACTATTTCTACCTAGGTTTTTACCCATATTCTACAATATATCAATAGTACAAAAAAATCCTGGCTATCCAGATTAATATGATAGGCGATGAAGAGGAGAGTGAACATTACACATGTACTCACATTAATATCAGTCACTACCGTAAAAGGTAAACTGCATTCAGCTTCAACATTTTTAAATTCGTCATCCGTAGTAAACGGACTATTCTAAAGAAAAAAAGATGGACAAATAAAAATATTAATCCAGCAACTGAAATTATTCAAAATATTTAATAATACTGAGTACAATTAACTCCGCGTAGAGCTGGTCCCGGTCCTTTAGGACCACAGTTGATCGTAAGCTTAACGAATCTACCTTATGAAAAATAAGTCTACTGAAAAGAACGCCAACCACAGAAAACTAATTAGACCTTCAGCTGTGACTTGATGAGTCTTCATATAGAAGATTTATAGTGTCGAATTCGGGAAGTCGAGACTTTTTGAAAGTCAAGATGCCGACGCTCTTTCTGACAACCGAAAACAATGACGAATAAATGGACGTGGAATGTTTGAACAATGTGAGAGACGGAATGAGTTTTTAACATAGTCGCAAAAATAAGAGGAAACAATCTGGCTGTATTTGGAAGAAGCGAAACCCATTGAATATAGTCTGGGTAGAAAAGGCAAACTTTAAAAAAGGTGTTGTCTTATTACGGTCATGAAGCACACGATCCTTCCCATATACAAGGTGTTGGCCCATAAATGCCTTGTTAGGACCAAGGGTGGGGAGAGTCCGCTCTTCCTCTCGAAACGCTCTCACATGGCCACATGTATACATTAAAGCATCTTTCAAAATAAAAGCGGACATGATTACAATGAACATCATCCAGTGCTACCAAATCACCAACAGTAGGAAGGAGAATGACAAAGACTAATTTCATGAGAGGCTGTAGCTCATCCTAGAGAAATGGTCAGCAAGAGATCTGACCATTCTGGTTGTGTACAAGACTGCCGTTTCTTTTCGAGTACCTATCTGGACTCTGACCATGCTTTGGTCTGCGCCAATCTTGCCTTACTTTTCTGTGGACAACGAAGTGACCACCACCAACGGATTGATGTTAGCAAGCTGGTTGCAACTTCTGTTGCTAGTAAGTATCGAACCGAGCTAGTTTCTAGGCTAGCTACCATCCCAACGAAAAGTATAGATGAGCATTGGTTGCAATTGCATGACGCCATGAAAATGGTAAGTACAGTCAGTTGTGGGTTCGCGAAACGTCCCGCTTATAAGCACTGGGTTTCTTCAGGCTCCTTACAACTCATTGAAGCCCGTCAGTCTACTCCGGGTGACCGTGAGTTTGACCACAAACGAAGGATGTTACGTAAGGAAATTGGGCAAAGCTTGCGTAAGGAACGAGAAGCTTGGTGGTCGGAGAGTGCTAATGAACTGGAAGCAGCAGCTGCACCTGGTAATTACCGGAATCTCTTCCCAATTATCCGAGCCACTGGCAACAAGAAGTGTGGTGTGAGTGAAACAATCTGCGAGGATGATGGGATGCCAATCACTAACATCCATCGACGTCTTGGACGATGGGCAGAATTTTTCGAGAAGCAGTTCAACTGGCCTGCTGCTCCGGCAACATCGGTCAGACTGTCCTGCCCTCCATGGCCGGTGATGACTGATCCACCAAATGAGGTGGAAGTCCCCAAGGAACTCCAACTCTTGAAGCGTTACAAATCACCTGGTCCAGATGACTTACCTCCGGCTCTTTTAAACATGGTGGTGACTTTTTGACTAAGGAATTGACGACGTTGTTCACAAAGGTTTGGGAACTAGAGAGTGTACCAACGTCATGGAATGAGTCGATAGTTGTCCCTATCTTTAAAAAAGGTTCACGTCGTTCCTGAAACAACTATCGGGGGATAAGTCTACTTCCGATTGCGTCCAAGCTATCGGCTTCCATCATACTTCGTAGGTTGTTCAAAACTCGAGAATGATTGACTCGCGAGGAGCAGGCTGAGTTTCTTTCTGGTCGAGGATGTATTGATCATATCTTCACCCTCCGCCAAATGTTAGAACACCGCCATACTTATCAAAGGCCAACAATCGTAGTGTTTCTTGACATCAGGGCTGCCTTCGATTCGTTGGATAGGACTGTTCTCTGGGATTGTCTATTGAAGAAGGACGTGCCTGAGAAGTTTATTAACATCCTAAAAGCCCTATATACAAACACCTCAGGCAGAGTGAGGGCATACAACCACCTCTCTCCATTGTTCCATTCGAACAGTGGGGTTAGGCAGAGTTGCCCAATCTCACCATTCCTCTTCAACTTTGCCATCGATGACATTCTGGAAACAGCTCTGATGGATGTAAGTAATGGTGGTGTGGATCTGTTTCCTGGAGAAAGACTTCACGACCTTGAGTATGCGGACGATATTGTCTTACTGTGCGATAATGCCCAAGGCATGCAATCCGCACTTAATCAGTTGGCAATCAGTGTCCGTAGGTATGGTATGTGCTTTGCACCTTCGAAGTGCAAAGTACTTCTATAAGACTGGCAGGATTCTAATCCTGCACTCACCCTGGATGGTGAACAGATAGAAGTAGTCGAGAAGTTCGTGTATCTAGGTAGCTGCAAGAGTTAATACAGAACAAACGCCTACACTGTATACACAACCCTCGGTAATAATTGGGTGTTTCTCCAGAACCAAGTATTACTAGTCGTAAGTTTTCCATCCTCGGTTGTTATGATTTGAAGTCACAATATTATCTGCACCACCTTGTCGCATCGTAACAATCATCAATATATGATGAAGAACACACTTAGGCTAGAGATAGAATAATATATTTAATTAGAGTATAAGGTATGAGGTAACACTCAACAATGACAACGCCTGCAAGTCCTAGCCATACCATTTCAGTCAGTCAGTCAGCTACAACGTAAGACCAGGCACATATGTGCATCGGTCCAGGTTGCCATACCGCATCAGCACAACAAGATGAACACCTGATTCATAGCAGTGGTTAGGTCAAAGGTAGTAATATGTAAGAGAAAGATTCCATATAGAGATATAGTACAAGAAGAAAGAATTGGTTCTTAGAAAGAAAGATATGAAGCGATTTTAATCTCTTAGTTTAAGGGAAGACAGGGAGTGTATACACCGACGCCATTGTGATCGATTCTGAGCCATGTCACCAAGAGTCTCCAACCATTGGTTACGATAGTCACGCGGACCCCAACCAAGTAGTCTGCATCTACCAACATGGCTCAGACTAGAAGTTAGTGACTTCAAGCACTGATGCCACGTTTTGGTTTGGCCGCCCCTAACTCTCTTCCAACCATCTCCAATACCGGATAGCATTGCCGCGCAGTATACTCGTCCTCTTATTGATAGACGGATATCTCGCCTTCGCCAAAGGTGACGTAAGTTGGCAAAAGCCAAACGAGCTTTTCGAATCCGTGCTGAGATTTCGTCCGATACCAACCCATTAGGGCTGATCAGACTTCCAAGATAAGTGAAGTTGTCAACGCGTTCGACTACTTCACTCCCTATCCTTAGTTCAGGTGTTGACGCAGACCAGTCCTGAAGCGACAACTTGCATTTAGAGGGAGAGAAGCGCATTCCAAACATTCTGGTATTGTTGCTCAGTGCTACCAGAAGACTCTGCATTTTGTCAGCGTCTTCACCAAACAGGACTGTCATCTGCGTATTCTAAGTCGATAAGTGCCATTTGATAAACAAGATTTAATTCAACTTATTCTTCCCGTATTCCTTATTGCTGGGTTTTTCTCTACGTTGAATATTGAATATCTATTTTCCCAATTTTACCGTGTTCAGCTTTCAGGATTTTGTAGTTAGGGCCCAATGCCACTTTAAATCCACGAACGTTTGAGATCTTCTACAAACCGCAACCTTATTTCTTTCATCAACATCTGAGGTAATAATGGTGGCGCAGAACGAAATCAGCTGTTTCATATGCTTTATCGGCGGCATATCTTGAGGGGGGGCTGGAAAAGGAAGTAAGTCAAAGAAAGGACAAGAAACAAGATAGACGACGTTCATGCCTATTGAAATTGAGTCATATGTGGTGAAATAGTGAAGGTGTGACTACTAAGTTCCCATTATTAAGGTACTTTTTAAGCAAGAGCATTCTAATAGGTTGAAAAAAAATGTAAATATGGTTTGAATGGACAAACAACTGTATGAAGAGAGCGGGTCAGAAGAGAAGCTGAAAGTATAGGATTATGTGTAGTTTTAAAATATAGTTCTGAAAAAAATTTCTGATACACAAATGGGTATCTCCCTTTTTGTCGAAGCTATTTCAGCTCACCTTTATCTTTAGTGAGTATATAGGCTCATTAGCACGCCTCGTTTATGGTGAAATGTCCAGTTTTGCTTAGAATAGGATTGCTCGGTACGAAGTGAAACCAATTCAACGTCACTGTGGTGGAACAAAAAGTATATTAACCAAACATTAGCAATAAATTTATTACGTCCAAAAGTCAATATAACACTAATAATTTATAAATTAGTAACACAGAATAAAAGTTCAGAGACGTTACTTAAATCAGCTAGTTGTCGCGTATTCCGTTGAGTTTTTGTACCAAAATCCACAATTATAAATGAGTAATAACTCCGATGAGGTAAATATGACTCCAGTAAGTTTTCTTGACGTAGGATGTAATAGTAATGACACAACAGTCTAAAATGTGGATAATATTCGATTTAGAATGCAATTGGCTCGATAACGAGTGAGAATAGAACAAGGAGTGTGTGCGTAATAGTGTATTTGCGAACAGCCACAAGTGTGTCACGCTATGTTAGTAACACAACGGAAAAAGTGCTCAAGGTCATTCACTAAAACAACAGGTACAGTCATTTAATGACAAATGTACATAAAGTGCAAAATTGACAAAATAAATACAAATAACATTAAAAACTATTTACAAAATAAGCTTGTCAGGCCTATCTATACATCACAAACACGATTTAAATGGGTATTTTGCATAATAAATTAGTATCAATACCACTGGTTCGTGACGTTCCAATTGAACATAATGAGTCGTAATTAAATAAAATATTCTGCCTTGAACACATGGGTGAATCGAAGTTATCTCCTCACCATCATGTTTGCCTGTCAGTAACGACATCTTCCCTCCTTTGTCATGTTGGACTTTCTTACGTTTGTGGTGTGTATGAATATCGTTTTATTCATAGAGTCTTGTTGAAATACACTGTCACTACTTGTTCCATGTTACAAGTAAATCAGATGGTTAAGTCTTCTGTTTTGTGGATTAGATATAGATTTAGTGTAACACACTGCTAATCGTGAAAGTTATGGGTGATCTTATCCGCAACGCAACCATGTAAACTTAATGTATCACACAGGGTCATCTGTGCGTTCAAGTAACCACAGATTTTGTCATTTCATAATGTATTTTTCACTAAATAACTAGATTATGTAGTTAATTTTGCTCTGTTTTTAATTTTTATTCGCTGCGTCCGGCTGCATTACACTGTACGTCCATTGCACGCTGGGATGATATCCCAAGTCATAGTGAGTTTATTCACATAGTTGATTGTTTCCAGATAGACTGTCAGTGCATGATTTTGGTGAAGAAAGGTTTGTTGTACTGTAAACTGTGTTTGTATGAACAACTGCCTGTTGTCTTCAGTATGAAAGCAGTATATATGTATCCTTCTTTTAAAAAAAGAAATTTCTTAGGTAAGTTCAACTGGCCTATATTTCGTGTTTTGGTTTTATCGATTTAATTATGTCCATTTAACTACTTTGAGCAGCATGTCTGTGCAAATGAAACAATAACTATAACACTTGCTTAGTTTAGTGTTCTTGGTTGTCGTATAATTCAGTTTAGTTGAAAGAATTATGATATACTTAAGTATAGTGCTTGATGCCTGTAACGAAACAGATCAGTTTAGTAAGTAGGGTTGCCTGTTTCTAATGTGTATACGAATTCAGATCAGTCTGATAAAAAATAGGAAAAAACGTGCCTTTGATGCTGTTGCTGTCATGCATTATAAGATAGCGATAAGTATGTTTGGCGTTTATTTCTAAACTGTACATCCATCACTAACCATATTTCATTATCACTGTCATTAAACAATTTCCCCAACAATAACATCGGTAGCAAGATAGCTAAGTGTCTGAGCTTTTAGTTGCGCGCAAAACAGCAGTTTACAGTCTTAGAAGATGAGTGTTCTGTGTTTCAATTAAATGCAGCTGGCTGTGGACAAATGTTTAGAATCTTTTTGACAGCTGGGACTTTCAGTTCATCAGACACCAACTCTGCTTGTATGTTTTCCTGTTAATAAACTAGACGCAGATGTTTAGGAACACTTAAACGGGAGCAAAATAATAAAAGCATTGCAATACGGTACTAAGCCCATGTTATGCTTTGCGCAAGTAATAGTAGCTGACCTTATCTAATATTCATGAACTCAAGGTAAATCACAACTGCATAAATTCTTTGCTAAAAAACATGTAATTTGTTTATTTATCTGTTTCACATTTCTGAATAAATTCATCACTATTTTTTTCATTTAGAATGTAACAGGAGTGAGCCTTCACAGACCCTAAAAACTGTTTCGCCCTTGGAACTATGGCCCTATGGAACTGTTTACGGGAGACCCAACGAACAGCAGATAATAAAAAGAATGCTAGACGTCCATTTTAGTCTCACAACCACTTCCAGTATATTTTGACTTCTTTTACTCTTTCGTTTGGAAAAAACAACAAAAACTGCAGCTTAACATTACCAATACAACTTTTAAGCGGGAACTTGGTTTTGATGATGTCACAGGTATTCAGTGTTTGACAACGCTTCTACCAGTAACACCTTCTAATATATTTCGTTCCCACCCAGAGAAATCAAAAGACAGAGTCGAGGAGATCGGAAGAGTGTATTTGGCGATAACCAATATATCGGAATTCTCTGATCTAATCTGGCTAGCGATTGCGGTTGATGTTGAGCACGGCGTTACCACACGTGATCTGGTGCGGATGCATGACCGAGCGCCTTCAGCTAGATGAGTCCACTAAAACATATGGTTAGCATCCAATGTCGAAAACTTAGAGCTATTTATTTTGGGGATTTATTTACCGCTACAGATCACTCCCCCCACTAGTGGGGCAGTGACAATCCTAAGACGTAGCCAGCCAGAAGTTTAAACCGAGCGAGTTTGTCGTTGGTAAACACTCTTCTGATAGCTTACTAAGTGTAGCAGCGTCTGGTCGTCTTTCCTTACTACATGGGACCGAGGTACAACATAGTAAAAAAAGAAAAAGTTACAACGAAAATTTCGACTCCTCGTACACTGCGTCGTTCTTTTACAGCCGTCCTGGAAAAGGAAAAAGAAAGTGTAAGTGCATGTCGAAATACACTCGTATGTGCGTAAAAACACAATGTTGGCGAAAAAAATGGAAAATAAACTCAAGCGCACGTAATAGCGTTAAATAAATGATTTTTTGTTTTTTGTTTGTTTTTTTAAATAAAAATAAAAGTATATAAGCATATTAAAATTCTTTTTTTAATATTATATATCGTAAAAAGAAAAATCGAGATAATATAAAATGTCGAGTAGTGCCTTACGTGCAGTAGTCGTGTAGGAGTGTAGGAGTCGTGTTGTGCGATTGCACCGAAGGAAAGTCGACGTGAATAGGATTCCCTTCTAAATACGCTGCTTTTAAGCGATCGATGCTGATGCTATTGTTTGTTCCGTTCTTATCGACTATATAGTACTTAGATTCACGTTGAAGAACTTTGAAGGGTCCTTCGTATGCTGATTCGAATGGTCGTCGATGCGAGTCTCGACGAACGAAAACGTGTGTACTATATCGTAAGTCAGGTTGAACGAAAACATCAGTTGATTGAGGTCCAGTGGAAGCAGGTTTAACTGAACGCATTGCGTTTGTAAGCCTGTTCGTGTAGGAGGTTAGATCCATGTTCATTGAAAAGGATGAAAGATCCACGAATTCTCCTGGAAGTCGAAGTGTCGTTCCATAAACGAGTTGAGCCGCAGTGTATCCAATGTCAGCTTTCACTGCATTACGAGTACCCAGTAAGGCGATTGGAGGAGCGTCGGTCCACTGTGAAACGTTTGCAGCTGATAGTGAAGCTTTTAGTTGTCGGTGAAAACGTTCTACCAACCCGTTTGCTTGTGGATGGTAGGCGGTCGTTTGGAAGCGAGTGATTCCTAAAAGTGTGGTCAGACGACGGAAAAGATCGGATTCAAACTGACGTCCGCGGTCTGTGGTGATGGTTGAAGGGCAACCGAAGTTTGCTACCCATCGTTCGACGAAGGCGCGAGCCACTGTTTCAGCAGTGATGTCCTTGATAGGTACTGCTTCTGGCCATTGAGTGAAACGGTCTACGCAGGTTAAGAGATAAGAGTATCCATTTGAATCTGGTAAAGGTCCTACCAAATCCAAATGAACATGGTCGAAACGAGCATCGGGAGTTTTAAATGAGCCTAAGGGACATTAATTGTGTCTGATAACCTTAGATTTTTGGAAGCTTACACAGGAGCGTGCCCACTCCCTCACGTCTTTATTCATGCCAGGCCAGCAAAACCGTTCTGCTATAAGCTTGATGGCTGCACGGACACCTGGATGAGAAAGTTTGTGCAATGTATTGAAGACATTGTGTCGATAATGTTTCGGAACGATTGAGCGATCCCTACCTGTAGATGTGTCACAAAGTAAGGTTTTCTTACCTGTTCCCATCTGTTTGATGCGTAGTTTAAGTGTTGTGGACGATAACTCGTGATGAAGATCACTGTCTTCTTTTTGAAGCTCGGCGAGTTTAAGAAGGTCGATTCCTTGGAAACTGTTCAAGGAAGTTATGCGAGATAAGGCGTCTGCAACTACATTGTTTGCTCCAGAAATATGTTGAATATCTGAAGTAAACTGCGAAATGTAGTCCAGTTGTCGAGACTCGCGGGGAGAGTACTTGTCAGAAGGAGAGCTTAGCGAGAAAGTGAGCGGTTTATGGTCCGTGAAAAGAGTGAATTCACGGCCTTCGATATAGTGTTGGAAATGCCGTACAGCACAATACATAGCTAGGAGTTCCCTACCGAATGTGCTGTACCTCGATTCGGTGTCTAGCAACCTCCTAGAGAAAAATGCCAAGGGTTGCCAGGAGTTGTTAACCCATTGTTGTAAGACTCTTCCGATTGCCGAGTCGGATGCGCCTACTGCGATACTAATGGGTGCTTTGGTGTCCTGATGTGCGAGCATTGTTGCTTTAGCGATCAGTTCCTTAACTGTGGAGAATGCTTTTCGTGCGGTGTCGTCCAAATTAATGGATTTCGTATTTCCACGGAGTTGGTCGGTCAGAGGTTTCATAAGTAATGCGCATTTCGGTATGAAACGTCTATAGAAACTTACGAGGCCGTTAAACGTGCGTAATTGCATAACGGTGGTCGGTTCTGGGTAATCCAGAATGGCCGCCATTTTGGTTCTAAGGGGTCGGATACCTTGAGCATCGATAGTTTGTCCCAGAAAGTCTAATGAGTCGGTTTCAATTTGGCATTTCTGAACGTTTACAGTAATGCCATGTTTTTGTAGTCGTTCGAAAACAAGATCCAGATGCTTGAGATGTGTTTCTCTGTCCGCACTTGCGATTAGACAGTCGTCAACATACGCGCGTACGAAGTTGAGACCTCGAAAAACGTCGTCTATGAATCTTTGGAATGTTTGAGCAGCATTTCTTAGACCGAAAGGCATTCGCAAAAATTCATAGAGTCCGAAGGGAGTTATGATAGCTGTTTTCGGTATGTCGTCAGTAGCCATAGGGATTTGGTTGTACGCTTTAACCAAGTGGATTTTCGAAAAGACAGTTGTACCTTTCAAGGTAGCTGTCAAATCATGAATGTGAGGCAACGGGTAACGATCGGGAATGGTTTTCGCGTTCGATCGCCAATAGTCACCAGTTGGAAGCCAATCGTTGCTGTCCTTTTTAGGGACCATGTGCATATGGGCTACTTGACGTTCGTATGATTCCTAAGTCTATCATATGGTCGAACTCGTTTTTCGCTAACCTTAGCTTTTCGGGAGCTAGTCGTCGTGCTTTAGAGAATATAGGTGGTCCTGTAGTCGTGATGTGATGTGTAACGTTGCTGGTTACACACGGTAATCTCAGTTGCGTTTGTTGTATCCCAGGATACTTATCGAGAAGTGGCTGATAGAGTGAGTCTATCATATGTTTAATTGTGACTGTAGATACTTTACAACCAGTAAAAGAAGTTACGCAAACGGACAAATTAGTGTTTCCGTCTACTAGCCTCCGTTTGCGAGTGTCGATGATCAGATTGTGGTGTTGTAGAAAGTCCATACCAATGATTGGCATAGAAACATCTGCAGCAACGAAGACCCAGTGGATGGATTTGCGTAAACCCATGTTAAGGTAAACGTACCTTTTGCCATACGTAGCGATAGGTTTTCCGTTTGCCGCCTGTAAGTTTAAAACCGATTCGTGAAGCCAATCGTTAGAATTCGCTGGGAGAACACTAACTTCTGCGCCAGTGTCGACGAGGTAGCGAACTCTCGTTGTCACATCCTTGACGAATAACAGACGGCTATGTTCTCCGGCTACAGTTGCCGTTAACGCGTGCCGGCTTGGAAGTTTCCCGAGTTGTTTTTCGAGTCACTCGGTTTCGTGTTGGGAAAATTGCAAGGTTTTCTGCAATTTCTGGAAAACTTTCCAT